CGTGTGCGAAAGTGCTGTGTGACTTTGAGCTTGTTGGTCAGTTGTGTACTGTGAGAGCCTGAAGCGTTGTAACCCTCGCCTCTCCTAAAACCCAGCCTAAGCGAAGCGTCTGGAGGCGCGTTCGGGTTTTAACGCCCTCTGCACAGTGGCGGCCCGTGATGGTCCACATTACAACGTTGTCACGGAGCGGCTCTAGACAAAAGACGGCCGTACGCTCAACACCTTCCGATTTTGAATTAGTTTGCTCGTAGATGATTTGAGCAAGAGACACCTGCACAAGAGAGAGTTCGAAGGCAGTTTTTTGTAGTTTTTCTTCTTTGCTCAGAACATGTTTTGAGAATGCAGATGACTGCAGAAAAATCGTTACAGTAACTTGTAGAAATGCTACGACAGTTTTGTGTTTGGATGTGTGTAGGAGACCACAACGAGGAGCAGCTGAGAGTTGGAGGAACCCAGAAAATAGATGTTTTTCGCCAGTTGCGAACGTGTTGTTGGAATTCCATGCGACTTTTCCAGCCAAAAGCACTGGTTGGAGGGCAGGACATGTTTACTGTTTTTGGAACGCTTCGACAGTCTCAAAGAGACGTTGGGGCAGTCACTTGGGCATCCATGTCTGCTTTCAAACCGCCTTTTGTCAACCCGGAACCTGTACAGCGTAATCTGGTAGTCTTTCGCGACGGTGCAAGTGCACCTTGGAGTGCTTGACTGTGAAAAAGAGCGGGGGTCCCAAGGTTTCGGGTTTGGCTAGAGTTTGGGGTTTAGGGTTTAGGGTTTAGCTAAACCCGAAACTCGAAAGCCGTTTCGTTTGCGATTAGCGGTGCGCGCCTCGCGCGCGCCGCTACCTTCTTTTTAATTAAAAGTTAGCTACCGTGCGAAACGCCGCGCCTGATGGCGGGTGTTTTGACGGACTGGCTGATGTCTGTTTGATTGATTGGCTGGTTGATTGCTCATCCACTTACCGACCGAGAACGCGACGGCAGTGGTCAATTTGCTTCGCGGCATCACACACGAATGAACACATGCCGTATGCAATTCTTTACTTCGGGATTTCAATGTATGCTGTGGTGGGAACGAGGCACCGGTAAATAACGCAACAGCATCAATCACGAAGAATCCGGTTGATGGCTTCAAGCGCGATGTTTGCGGACAATTTTGGGCATATTCATCGTTCTGACAGCTGCCTTTTTAAGTGACAGTCAGCTGAAACCGCTCCACAGATGTATTGACGTTGTAAGAGGTGTATCAGTTCATTGCGTGCGAAACGACGTGTGCAACATCTTCTGTTAAGATGTAACCAATTATGATGTCTCACCACACCAGGCCTGCGGCTGCGAGGCGCGATCGAAGGCGGACTTACGACCGATTCAAACACACGAGCCCGTGAGCGTGAAGCCTCCTTCCTGACCTGTACCTTTGCCGTCCACAGCCACGGACGCTCGATAGTGCGATTTGGGCGACTTGCCGGTATTTTGAATGTGGCCGGAGAGAAGCCGCCTGGCATCGCGGGGCGTGGGCTCAACCGTGACGACCCAGTCCGGGTTGGCGATCCGTCGCTTCTGCCAGAAAGGCAAGTGCCTGACGATGCTGGACTTACCGTTTAGACACGAGGCCATTATCGCACGGCAGCATCGGCACAAGCGTGAGGACTACAACCGGTCGACTCTACGCTTGCCGCACCTCGATAACTTGCAGGCGGTGTCAGCGAGCGTCCGCAAGAAGCTCGCAGCGCTGGCGGCAGCCACACGACGAAGGAGTCGCACGCTGTCTAGCCGACCTTCTGGCCGTTGATACTCCGATGCGCATTGACGACCTCGTTAGAAGACGTGCGGCACTGCCTTTGAGGCTCGGGAGCTTGGGACCTCGTCGTGCGACGGAGGACCAGAGTGAATGGCAGACAGCTTGCCAATCCAGCACCAGAGTCATTGGTCATTGGAGTGTTGTGGTTGACCTCTTCCGCCGTGTGCAGTCCGTCAACCCTTTTGATGCGATGATAAGGCAAGCCGAAACCTCGCTGAACTAGAAGCCAGCGGTGCAGCAGCAAGAGGCCGGGTTCGCATTGCCCACGCGGGGCAAACTTGCGGATGGCGGGCGCCCGTCTCCCGCGTTCGTTGAGCGCTCCCGGACGCACCCGTTTGCGCGAGTTTCTGACCTTGACCCGCCTTCGCAGGCGTTGATGTTGCCCGGGCAGGCCCAGGCAGGCTTGCATTGCAACCTTGCAGCTCAGCTAAGCGGAGCAGAGCGCAAGCTTTTGACAAAAGCGCAGCACGGCAATACAGCTACGTCGTGCACCGTACCGCTTAGCCTCACGGACGCGTTTGCGCTCTGGAAATCATGTCGTGCCCAAATGGAATCTGTAGTTTATGGTCGTGTATATAGGGAAACGACGACTGGTATCCGGAAGTCATCCGCACAGGGGCATAGCGGCTCCGTGTGCTGTAGACGCCACTGCTGCCAACGCCTCAGCTTATGGCCGCATACAACTTATTCGTTACGCTGATATGTCTTCGGATGCATTTGTTCCGCGCGTCAACCAACTCGTAAATGAAGGCCGTTTCGCACATATGGGCATACCACAGGTTCGGATTCAAGGGTCCTCTGCCTGGGGAGTGGCTGCGCATCAATCGTAGTCAAAGCGCTTTCGGCCAACGCCCGCAGCTGCTCTCTTGTGCTTTTTTTCATTTTCCGAATAGGACCTTTACATTCCACGGGGATGCACTCAGTGCTGCGGGCAGCCTGTTGCCCATTTTTCAACCCTGGACAGCTGAAGGTCTCTCTGATTTGTGTTTGGTAGCTGTAATCGCACCTGCACTGGACTCATCTTTCCGCCCGGACCCAGACGCAATCAGCTCCAGCAGTGAAGCTGCCCCTTGACGCCGATGCGGCACCCCTCGTTGTGCATCCGCCAGCTGGACTCGCGCATTCTCGTGCTGCTGTCGTGGAAGGTAATTCGGTACTATGCGAGCACCAAGCTCAAATTGCAAGTTTACGGTCATTGATTTTTGCTTTGACAGATGTTGTTCAGCTTCAGTTTGCGAACTCTGTTGCGTTGCGCAATGCTTCCGTGCCTGTCGGCCTACACCCACTGCCGCCGCCGCCGCCGCCGCCGCCGCCGACAAGGCCTGCACATGCCATTGACCGGGAACCCAGACTTCCGACCCCGCCAGCTCCACTTGCCAGACCCACAGAGCTGTCCGCACGTGTGCAGCGTGAGTACCCTCCCCCCTCCACCTGTGCCTGCAGTCGCGCATCTGCGATACTCGAGAAGACGAGCGTCAACGTTATCGGGGAAACGGCCTGGGCGCTGGGTGAATGCAGGCGAATCCGATGCGCCCGGCATGTATCGCCTGGCTGTGTTCAATTGCAATAGGCTCTGGTCAATTTCTGGCCGCTTGCATGATGGTTTTTATGGGCTTTCTCCTTTTCTATGTCAGCACGATTGTCATTCCGCACTGTTGCAAGAACCCTTCTGCCCTCATGACACGATATTGCCTGACGATCAACCGTACGTGTTTGATGGCCCTAACGGTTCTCGTGGTCGAGACGTTGGATTGCTGTACCGCCCGGAATCTTCATTGTCGCGTATCCCCGCCGTCCGTGACCAAACTGACATCCAATGGCGGCTCCTTCGTGAAGGGGAAACGTCCCCTAGTGTTCCACTCGCTTCCTTTTACTCCCCACATGTCGTTTGTCAGGATGCTGTGCGAACGGGTTTTTGGCAGAGATTGTTTGCTTCAGCTTCAATTGAAGGTGTAGTTCGTGCTTTGCCGGGGGTGCCCCGAGTTATAGCTGGTGATTCTAAAGTTTGGTTTCCTCGTCTCGTTGATTCGCGCCCACCCCGCAATGCTGACCGTGGCTGTTTGGAGTTGATCCGGTTACTTCTCGAGACAATTAACGTGGAAATTCAACCCCACGTCGTGGTTCCGACTCACCGGCATGGCGGCGCACCGGCTGTGGGCGACACCAGGTATAATGCGCAGTGTCGAAGTTCAGAATGGCACGAATTGTGAATGTGAGTCGTGTATGGCGCGACGCGCCATGG